GGTTAGACTTATCTTTGTAGTAACTAGAGAGCTCTTTCAAGGCATTAGTAAGTTGGATTTCAACTGTTTCAAAGTCTTTTGCTTATGTTGTTAAGCCAAGTTTATCAGCATATATAAAGCTCTTTGTGAATGGTGGCTGTGGCTGATTGTTAATAACTATGTTAAACAAGGTTGATGCAAGAGTGCTGCCTTGGAATAAATTTATTTATTAATTATTTATTTGCTTTACTTCTATACCGCCTTTCTCAGCCGAATGGTGACTCAAGGCGGTTTACACAGTAAAGATCAACACAACAACATCAAAAGGCAATTAAAACACATTATACAAACATATCAATTCAAAAACAATCATTATCATAAACGTGCGCCTCAGCAAACAAATCAGAATCAGAATCCGCAATCATAATCCTTTATACCAATTCCTATGTTCAGTTGTACCATCTTACTGTATTTCGTTGCACTATTTAGCCAAACGCTTGTTCGTAAAGCCAAGTCTTGACCTTCCTCCGGAATGCCAGCAGTGAAGGGGCCTGTCTGATGTCCACAGGTAGGGCATTCCACAGCCGAGGGGCCACCACCGAGAAGGCCCTGTCTCTCGTCCCCGCCAACCGCGCCTGCGATGCGGGCGGGACCGAGAGCAGGGCCTCCCCAGACGATCTTAATGTCCTAGTCGGTTCATAGGAGGAGATGCGTTCGGAGAGGTAAGTAGGGCCAGAACCGTTTAGGGCTTTATAGGCTAAAGCCAGCACCTTGAATTGTGCCCGGTAGCAAATTGGCAGCCAGTGGAGCTGGCGCAGCAGAGGAGTGGTGTGCTCCCTGAGTGCCGCTCCTGTTAGCAACCTGGCTGCCGAACGTTGGACCATTTGAAGCTTCCGAGCAGTCTTCAAGGGCAACCCCACGTAGAGAGCATTGCAGTAGTCTAAGCGGGATGTAACCAGAGCGTGGACTACCGTGGCCAAGTCAGACTTCCCATTTCTTTGCCTCCTCCATCTACTTTTCCTCCCTTGAAATGCCACATAGAAGCTGTGGTTTTCTAGGAGGGTTTGGTGCAGAATCTGCAGGACTATCTTGATTGATGAACAAGGAAAGTTGAGATGGTGGCCCAGATAAGAAAGACATACCCAAAACAGAGATACTATTTTTCTGTATCCTTGCTTCCAATAGCCCCCCGCTTTCCATATAAGAATCTTTGTAAATTGCAGTGGTCGCCTTTTAATTCAAGTAATGCTCAAGTAATGCCTACAACACCCAGAGGAATATTGAATTACATCTAGAAGATATAACTACTACTAGCAATTATTGTGTATTATGAGTGTGTTCCTTTAAATCACCTGTTGATTTACAGAGACCTCGTTTCATATAGAGGTAGATTGCCATTGCCTTCATGTTAAGTGTCCAACATCTAATGTGCCTCATCCAAGCACTAACTCTATCTTGGCTTAGCTTCCAAAATCAGATAAGATCTGGTGCCTTCAAGGTATTTAGACTATAATGTTTATTGTTGTTTACCTTCAAGTCATTTCTGACCTTTGACAACTTGAAGGCTGAGCCTGTCAACAGGTTTTCTGGCCAGAATTGTTCTGAGAAGGATCCATTTACCTTTCTTTGAATTTGTGTCTTGCCCAAGGTCCCCTAGTCGTTTCCGTGGTCAAGCAAGGATTTGAACCCAGCTCTTCATCCAATACGCAACCATTCTGGTTCTCACTGTTTGGATTAGTAAATGGTTAATCCTTCTCTGAAGGGGTGCTCACAAATGAGAATTTCTAGTGGAAAAAACCATGGACAGGTTTTATTTTCTTGATTCTCACTAAATTAATGGAGGTGAGATTTAGAATTTCAGTAATTCTGCACCAAAATGATGATTTTAAAAGGAACTCCCTCCCTTCCAAATCCCACAGCACACCAGAGCTAAATAAATCTGTAAAATGCAATTTGCCAACTTCCCTTCAAAGTTTCTCTTTTCTCAAAATGCTTACTGAAGATTTTCTGTACAAACATGAAGGCTTGAAGCATAGCCCCATAGGGCCCAGACTTGATAAGTCAGGTTTTGGACCAAGAATTCCTAAGACAGCGTGGCCTGTAATTTTCTAGACTCTGGCTGTTCCATGTTATACTGGGAGCAACCATATAGTGCTGCCCACCATTATGCTGTTTAGTAGTTTCTCCATTTGCTAGGAATCAATACATTCTTGCCATACAAATTATTGGTGGTGATGGGGACCACACACTTCCAGGAAAAACTCTGGGAAAGGCTCAAGGCCAAGTGAAATGTGCACACACTAAGTGTTAATTTTCTAGATGTAGCTGATAAATGGCTCTCATCTCATCATCACATCTTTTGGAATGAATTCAGACATGTGGCAAATAGCAGTGGCCTGTCAGGGGTTAGTTCAGCTCCGCAAGTCACTCATTCCTGTTCCAAAATAAAAACCTGGCTGGTTAGCTGTCAGCATTCGGCTCTTCATGTGCTCAAAATTCATCACGACCTTCACCTTCAAATGACAGAGAGGGACAGATAGAAACAGGTTTAAATTTAAACATGTAAGGAAAGCCGCATGCTTTTCATACCTTTCCAGCTCTCCCTGGGCTGCAGATGTTATTGCCTACAAATGACATTCAAGTGGTACTTATTTCCTTATCTGTTAACACCAGAGATTTTAGGCACTGGAAACAAATAGACTAAAAAGTAGGCTTTTTTCTAACAATTTTTGAAAAAAAAAACAGTCCTTACATCCGAGCTATTTTCCCTATTCCTGGGATTGTATTTTTCCCCTCCCCTTCACCATTTTACTAAGATGCAGCTGGTTGCATTTATACACTAATTTTAGTAACATATTGAAACCAGATATAGATCTTCACATTTTCCTCAATGGTTTGTTGAGTATCTTTATGTGTTTTCCACTACCCATCCAGGTCTAAAGAACCATAGTTCTGGTATGTTTCTGATGGCTTTCATTTGTCACATACCATTGTAAGCTGTTCTTGGAGGCTTCCTTGTTTCAGATTATGCTGAAGAAAAGAATGAAAAGAGTGATAGTTCCAGGAGAAAACCTCTCTTGAGCATATAAGATGACTGGAGAAAATAATGTTGCCAGACTCCAACTTGTATGACCACAGGATCATTAGGGTAGACAGAGGGGATGCTAAAAGTTGCAACCCAATGGCATGCAGCTCCTCATTTCTCAATTAAAATGTAACTTCTGCCTTATAAGAAAAATAAAGCCACAGGCAGGTCTATCACTTAGTGAGAGTCTCTTGAGGAAAAAGAGAAAGAGGTAAACATGATTTATGACACTTTTCTGAAAGGGGTGCTGTGGATTTTGTTGTTTTTTGAAGCATTTTTTTATTTTCAAAATTTAATAAAAAGTGTTTTTAGATACACACTTTAATATCATTTCTGTGTTTAAAAAAAACAAAATACAGCTATATATAATTATAGATATACTGCTTATTTGGCATTCATTATATTCCACGAAAAGCTGGACTTTGTAATCACACGCGGTTGACTATGTACAACAGAAACTGCATTTTAGGAAAAAGCTGTGAAAACTACAATATGGTGGCTTTATAATATCAAAGAAATTATTGCAAGAAAGTAGGATAATGGATTTCTAGATGAAATTACACTGAAGGTATCTTTATAGCCTGTTCACACTCATCCTGCAGGTTCTGTTGTGATGGATTTTGTCCTGTAAAACACCAAGAGCTTTGCCTCATCAATGGGTCTTTCCTTATCAAATCCCCCTTTAGATGGTAACATACAACTTAAAGCTTATTTAATTACACACATTGAACTAACTATTGCATGATATGTAACTGAATAAAATTTTCATTACAGCAATATTTCATATGCTCTTAATATTGTGCAAATTTTATTGAGTATCCTTTTGGTGGATTTAACAATTGGCTACTATCCAATACTTTTTATGAAATAAAGCCCTCAAAGTGCATGAGGTCCCCCTCAATATATTACTATTGGAGAAATCTTTAACTGAAGGGGGAAAAAATAACTTGACTTTGGGTTGCCATGTTTGCTTTTTGTCTTTGGCACAAACCTTCCTTTTAGATCACATGTTTTATAAGAACAGTTGTTTCTTTGGGGAAGTCACACTGGGGGCCCTTCCACACAGCTCTGTATCCCAGAATATCAAGGCAGAAAATCCCACAATATATGCTTTGAACTGGGTTATCTGAGTCCTGACTCAGATAATGTGGGATTTTCTGCCTTGATATTCTGGGATATAGGGCTGCGTGGAAAGGTCCTGGAATAATATGGTTGCAGTACGAAGAGTCAGAACCACAAATAAAATGTTATTTTATGTCAGTGTTAACTCAGAGTATTCGAAGGTAAGCCTATTATTATTGTAAGTTCATGGGTTGTTGGTTTGATGGTTGCTCATATATTGTTATAATGTTGTTTTATGCTGTTATATGTTGTTATTTTTGTATTTTAGTGTGTTGTATTTTAACTATGTTTGTTTGGGCTCGTCCCCATGTAAGCTACCTCGAGTCCCTCCAAGGAGATGGAGGCAGGGTAAAAAACAAAGTTGTTGTTATTATTATTATTATTTGACCAATTTCATACATGGAATTTGGGGACTGAACAGATTGGCCCACATATGTATTACTTTTAACCCTCTCATATATTATTACTGCTTCTTCCTTCTTACTTGCAAGATCTTTAGCCTTCTCTGCTAGTGCCTCATCAACTACAACTTCCATAATTTCATGGCCCTTAAAGTGGTGTCAAACTGCATTAATTCTAGTGTTGATACACTTGGCAATCTTTTCCCAAAGCATCAGGAATTATAGCCATGCAGCCAGTACAATAAATATCCTTCACAAAAGAGTAGTATGTAATTGTGCTTAGACCTAATTTTAAATGGTTTCAAAGGGACACCCAATATTGACAGAGAGCCCAAGGACCATGTGTGCAGTGTTGCACATTTCCCCTTCACTCCCATTATCGCCTTCCAAAAATAGCCACTAGAAAAAAGCAAACATCCCACTCTTGAAAGTCGGTGTGCCCTCCTGAGTGGAAATCAAAGTGATGTCAGAGAATACTTTTGAAAGAGAAAATCAGAGACAATTCTCACACATGTGGGGAAATACTGCTTGTTTATGCAGGACTTTCCAGATCACAAATTGGAGTGTGGGCAAAAAGTTTACATTTGGCATTTAAACACCTTAAAAAATGAAGCCCAAATTCTGAAAACTAGGATAAGAAAAATAAGAAGTATATGTCAGAAATTATTAGATATCTGATAGCTCTGGCTAATCTAAAATGTTGATATATCTGTAGAACTAGCCAGATAGTGCATTTGTGATCTTAACCTGACAAATAATGCTCTGATCTCAGTTCACTGTTGCATTTAGGCAACAGATTACTAAAATGAAAGCTTGAATATTTGTATATGTTTATACAGATGATTCCTATGATTCGTTTTAAAGCCACTATCCACTATTTTGTGTAGAAGTTCTGTATTTGTGATTGTGGGGATTTCTTTTTTCTTACACTCTATGGCCCAAACAATACATGCTAGAATGAAAACCAGCTATAAAATCAAGTGGATTTGCAAACACAGTCTATTTTATTCCAATGCAGATATGTCACTTCTGTACACCTAGTGAGGCATATCTAGGTTTTTTACGATGACTGCCACTCCAATACCAGATGCTAATATTCCCCTAAATTTGGAAACAGGATGCTGCCTTTGAAAAGGCAGTTCAAATGTTTTTTGAAAATATATATAATATTTTAAAATATAAAATCTCTATAGAAAATAGTTTATACTCTCTTCAAATGGAGCAAGCTCACTTCAAATTCATTCTGTACAGAGAAGTTAGCCATCTTGCCCTCTGCACTGCTTAATTTAGATTCTTACAATTGCATCTGTAGTTTGCTAGTAGGCATTCCTATGCTCACAATATATCATAATAGCAAAGACAAGGCTCTCAAAAGCCAGATATATGACAAAGGCTTGAGAAGGAAAATCACAGCTACATGTCTGAACTAAGCCTAATGGAAGCGCAAGTGTTTATTATCTCTCTTACAACAGAGAAGAAATGCATGCATGATGACATCAGCTCATTGTAGTAAGAACACTTTAGGAAGTTATTATTAAAGGATGTATTCCTATATATTTAAATCTATTTTCCTTTTGTTTCATCTAAATCAGACCTGAGTGTTGTTTTTTTTCTCTTTAAAGAGGGAAAGATGTGGAGAAAAGAATGCTAGAGGAAGTCCTGCTTAATTTGTTGCATATGGCCAAACATGTTATAAAATGAATTGTACACTACCAGGAGACTAAATGGGCAGCTCTGCAAACAAATGTGGCTTTACCCAGAAGATAAAAGCATATCCAAATATTTAACCATAGGTAACTTAATAAATTCATTCCCACTTCATCTGGTGATTAAATTTAAAAAAATAACAACTACTTCCATAAACACCTTAAAAGGTACAGCAATCCTGTTTAGCATTATCCCCCAAAGGAGTACATTGTAGGAACCCACACTTTTTTTTATTTTAAAAAGGTTTTATCAAACCATATGTGCAGATACTTGAGATGATGACAGCGAGAGGCTTCCTAGGGTCCTAGAGTCAAAGAAATTCTGCTGCCCCCCGTTGCTAAGTAAGTGCACTCCTTCTACAGGGGGCAACATCTGCCGATCGGTCATGGTTCCACTTGGCGACGACCCCAAGAAACTTCCTTGGGAAGAAACAATTTTCTCAGGACTGGCAGCCAGTTTGGGGGATGTGGAGAAGTTGTATCCATAGAGAGCACAAGGGCTGTGCAACCTGAATGTGTTGTAGGAGTTCTGGTGGGTTTGATTTGTAGCAAAGGCGTTGCTAGACGGGGAAGGCATAATATACTGGAGCTGGGGAGACATCCCTGAAATCTGCATCGATAAGCCTGCCTGGGAACAGCCGAATCCATCACCATCACTGCCTGCCACAGGCATATTCACTGCTGAACCACTTGACACGCCAACGTATGAGGGAGTCCTTGGAGTTGCGAAGGTCTCGTTGGTTTGGTTTGTAAGCCTGTTGTATGTTTCAGCCAAGGAAGTGCTGTATCTGTTAAGGGCTAGACCTGAGCGAGCGCAGGCTGTGTAGTCAGCTGGGGTGAGGCTACAGAGCTGGCTGGTGTTGGGAGGAAGGTGAAAGGCTGGAGAAGAGCAAGGAGATCCAGGGAGGATGTGGGAATGAGTTGTTGGCACTCCATTTCCAGACCCCTGGAGTAAAGTGGAAGACCCAGCATTTCCTAGAAGAGAACGTTAAAATATTGCATTCAATGAAAAGAGGCTCATTTGCCTCATTATACTATCCTATTCATTACATCTATGATCTATTAAAATCAGGATGGCTTAAATGAGGTTAGACCAGGCCCAAAATGAAGGAAAAGAAAAGAAGGTATTCATCTCTTCTATCAGGAAAAGTAAACCAGATTGGTAATCAAATTCTACCTTAGCAGTAAGTCAGAGCAGCAGGATAGCATAAGGGACACAAATCAGATTTTTTTTTCTGTGTCAGAAGCGACTTGAGAAACTACAAAGTGATTCTGGTTTGAGAGAATTGGCTGTCTGCAAGGATGTTGCCCAGGGAATGCCCAGATGTGTTACCATCCTGTGGGAGGCTTCTCTCATGTCCCTGCATGGGAAGCTGGAGCTAACAGATGGGAACTCACCCTGTCTCGTGGATTCAAACCGGCAACCTTCAGGTTAGCAGTTCAGCCGGCACAGGGGTTCATTGTGCACAATACACATGATAGATCATTGTGTATTGTTGGCTGTGGTAGGGACCATGGCCCTTCTTAACAAGAGAATCCATCATGGGCACATACCTTGGGCACATAACATTATGGCACAGTTCAAAATAAGAATGAAGAAGTTATACTTAGAACACACAATGATGGAGTAGGGGCACACTGAACTGCTTATTCAGTATAGCATTTCACTAGACAAAAAGACATGAGTTCACAGTGTTCCCGTCAAGAACTTAATGTTCCTAGATGGCCATCATTCAACCTGGCTACAAGAGGACACAAGGGAGGAATTCTGCTATAGCTGCTCAGCTTTTCCAGACTTGGAGTCTCCACAATGGAGAGGAGGAGAACTTACTTCTGCGCAGCACAGAATGGTTCATTCAGTGTTTCATACACTGTACATAAACTTGCCTGACCACACTATTAGCCTTATCTTGGCCCACAAATAGACCATCCCTTTCATTTCAGGTGGTGGTGGTTGGAGCAAAATGTAATATGGGCTTTCTTTGTTGTGAAATGCCTGCTAAATCTGAGAAACACCAGTACAGTCAGCCCTCTTTATCCATAGATTCAACAATCCACGGCTTGAAAATGTTTTTTAAAAGATTCCAAAAAATACAGTTTTAATTTTGCCATTTTACATAAGGGACATCTTTTTACTATGCTATTGTATTGAATGGGACTTGAGTATCCACAGATTTTGGTATCCACAGGGGCCCTGGAGCAAACGCCAATGGATACTGAGGGTTCACTGTAAATCTTTTTTGCACTAGTAACTTTGTCTCATCCTTGAATCTGCTTTGGGAATGATTGCTGTGATGTTATGTGCTAGATTAGAAGGTCATCTGTAAAGGTTTCTAACTCACTTAAAAATTTATATAGCTACCCCAAGAGTATTCATCTCTCTCACGTTTACTCATTTGTTTCATATGCACGGTTCTCTTGGCCAGTTTTTTAGCTGTGTTACACAAATACGTTTCTCCCCTTTTTTTTACTTAGGACAGTGGTTCTCAACCTGTAGGTCCCCAGGTGTTTTGGCCTACAACTCCCAGAAATTTCAGCCAGTTTAGCAGCTGTTGGGATTTCTGGGAGTTGAAGGCCAAAACATCTGGGGATCCACAGGTTGAGAACCACTGACTTAGAAGCTAGTGCATGTAACACATGTATTGGGTTTCAATGCATTATGGCCATTCCATTTTTGTCCACTCTTAAAAATTTAAGTTTTTCTGGTCTGTCTGCCTGCCTCTGCCTTTGCCTACTTTTTGCATCAGCCATCCAAAATGACACTGAACATTTCAAGTCAATTACATAACCACTGTTGACAATGAATGTAAGGATCAGAGTCAGTGTGTCTCAGATTCCTTTCCCAGCTCCAAAATCCATGAAAAAATTGGAAAAGCTTTTTTAAGCCACAGGGCACAAGTATACTTTCTAAAAGCCATCTCTAGGCAAAGAGATGGGAAAGGCTATCATATGGAAGAGTTTGCTTGGCCCTTCTCTCTTCCCCCCTCTCTAATGCTAAACACCTGCTAACACCAACAATAACTTCCACCGCTTGTGTGGCCCCAAAGCAGAAAAGGGAGGGGGAGAGCATTCTTTTTCAAGAAGGCATATATAGTTAGAGGAAAACTCATTAACATGACCTCTCTTTTCTAAACTAAGGCATATCCAGGAGGGATATTTTACACCCCATAATCCTCAGCAATTAATATTGAACAGCCCTAAGGGATCTGTATGCTCGCTAGCATCTTCGTAATGCAAAGTTCAGATCCAAAGTTAACTCTCCATCAAAAATATTTCTGACATGCACATTTTCCTATTACTTTGCCAAAGCTAAAACAATTTGTATTTTGCTTTTGTGGCCTGTATTCTTGTTCCAGCACAATTTCCCCCCTGACATTCTGAAGCAATGGATGTAGATTTCAGAACAAGTTGGTACATTTTTTCACATAGCTTTCTAATATTTTTCATAGTTGTGTACAACTTTGAAACAGCTTGGCAAGGGGGAAAATTGGTATTCTAGTTATGTCAGTAAACAGTTTCTAAAAATATGTGTCTAACAGGCCTAGAGGGTGTTTATTACACGACAAATTACTTTGTTTGGCAAGATCTTGGAATGACAGCTACTGACACAAATGCCTCGTGTGTGTTACACCCAAACTTAATAATGTTTAAATCACATTAAATTCAGATTTGAGCTTTAAACCTACATTCAATTACTTGGTAGGAAGTCACACTGAACACACTGTAATTACTTTTGTGTAGACATATATAACATGACACTGTTAGAAGTAATTTAACACAGAAATCAGCAATTGCTAACAACCGGGGCCATGTTGGCTCTCATTGGATCCTAGTACACCCTTCCATATCTTCACTCCCATACTACTAAATCTCCTCCCAAATTTTGTAGGAAAATGCCTCTAAATATCTAGCAGTACCTTCCAAGCTTCCACATTTATTTGACTGAATCTGAAGGATAATTTGACACCCCCACAGCTTTTTAGGCCCTTGTAGGGCTTTTTTATTTTGAAAACAGGAAGTGAAAATCCACTTCCTTTTTTCTGGGCCTCTAGTCACTGTTTTAATTAGAGGCCCAGAAAACGTGATACCTGATTTTAAAGCTGACTTGCACCTTAATTTGTTTCAGTTCATATTCATTAAAGTTTTTTTTCTAAATTTCAGTGGGGTTGCTTTGCAAGAGTCAAGTTTGTTAGATCAAGTGTCATGTTTGTTAGACAGGAAGTTAAGGAGAGACATTCAGAGTGAAATAATGCTGAAGCTTTGTGTTCTTTTAAAGTAAGGCAAGAGGGGGATTCCTGGTTTTGTTTTTTAATATTTGGGGCTGCAACAGATGAGAAGGCCTTTTTCCATGTCTTCCCACATTGCATTGCTCCCACTGATCACACTCACAGAAGAGCACCCTGTCCATACCTCTATATGATAAGGCATTCTTTCAAGAATCAAAGTACTAGCTCCTCATTACAAGCAAACTTGATGCGGGGCAGAAATGAACTGGCAACCAGTTCCATTGCAACTGGACTCACACTTTGTGATTTCCCATTCTGCTATCATTATTATTCCCTTCCACCTAAAGAAATCAGTTATGAAAGAAAAGAGAAAAGGAAGACCCAACATGGCGCACCAACATGGTGTACCAGCTTCTGTGTTGAACTAGGACTCTGAGGTCAGTCTGAGGTGCAAACTGCAGGGTCCCTTTGAGCAGCTCACATTTTCTCAACCTTAGAGGAAGGCAAGAGCAAACCTCCTTTGAAGCAATCTTCCTAGAAAATCCTAGGACAGGATTGCCATAAGAAGAAGTTGACAAGAAGACATACACAGCAGCAGCAGCTTGGATGTGTAAGATAGGTAAATGTAAATATAAGCAATGTGAAATCAGTACTGCTATTATTCTTAAAAGCTTTTTACATGAGCATTTTGCCCTCTTGTAAGGTAATGGTAGTATAGACCATCAATCTAATTATTAGAAAAAATACAGGACCCAAAACCCCATCTATTTAAATCAGTTGAAGTTTTACCTTTAACCTAAATGGAATACAAGTACATGAACACTGTTTGTGCCTTTGAAATTCCAAAATGTGATTAGTACCTTGTTTCGCAATCCCAGGTATATCTTCAAATGTTAGTGTCCTCAGTGAAGGTCTCCAGAATGCGTAAGATTCTACCAAAGCTTCCAATCCCATCCTAGACACACACACAAAAAAAACACTTTATGAGAAGAATATTCCAAAAATTGCTTATATTTTGCAGTACTTTATCATCGTGTTCTTTCCATGGCATGAAATACTATAATAATAATAATAATAATAATAATAATAATAATAATAATAATAATAACAACCTTTTTTTATATCCTACCAGCATCTCCCAAAAGGGACTCGGGGCAGCTTACAAGGCACTACAAGTGTAGTATCTAACATAGATGGTACATGAGTATAAAAACAATATCACATAAAAGTTATAAAAACAACCGCTATTAATACATCAAATAAAATAAAAACAAAAATAAAAACACAGTTTAAAACACAGACTATCTATAGTTAAGACTAGCTGCCTACAAATCAATGTGGATGATAACTCTGTAAATCCGAAGCAAAGCCTCAAACCTAAATATTCCCTTCACCCACTGACCTATATGGCCAGATAATGAACAGACCATAACACAACTTTATTTTCTTAAGTCCTGGCTTATCATTATACACAGATCTAATATTGCTTTGCCATGCAAGTACTTATTGAGACTGCTAAAATTTCAATTTTTCATCTTTTGTTCAGAGGCAAAATTGTTTATACAGTTCAGTAGCTGATATATACAATTTGAATTTGCATTACATGGTTAGTGTAGGCCCATATAATATAGTTCAATTGTATGGGTCAATGCTGACTATATAATGGAGATTCAGACTGCATTATATGGCAGTGTAGATCCAGCCATGTAGATCTTGTCCTACTCATGGAAATGAGTAGGACAAGAAACTCTGTTGAGATTGAGGAGACTAATAAGAATTATCAGTCATGTTCTTCTTTTTTTTTCTTTTTTCCTTGTTTTGCTTTTTGCTCCCCACCCTTTCCTTATAGATTTATCCCTGATCTTTCCCAGCAATACCCTTTATATTTTTATCTGTATCTTGAAAAATCTTAATTAAAAAATGCATATATATAAAAAGAAATAAATTACAAACTTTTTCTCTTGAACTACAAGTTTCTCTGAAACACAACACTTAAGCCCTTGTGCAATTACAAGTCTACTACTGGAATGTTTTTTTAAATCATAGAACTGGAGAAAAATGCTGAAATGGCAACAAAGATTTTTGTAGCAGAAAAGGCTAAAATGCTTGGGGCTCTTTAGTTTAGAAAAAAAGACGAAGAACAGAATGACAGAACTTTATAAAATGATGATGGGCATAAACAGTCATTTCTCAGTTTCTCTCCTTCAGCAGGAGCTTGGCATCACACAATTAAAATAACTGGCAGTATATGCAGGATGGACAAGACAAAGTACTTCTTTATGCAGTATACAATTAACTTATGGAGTTCAGTTTCTTTGGAGACAGAAATCAAACTACAATTGAACTTCAGCATCATAATATCATGGAAACCAGTATTTTCCCATCATATTTTATTTCCAAGTCAGTGGTGCCAGAAAGAGTCAGAATTGTTGCAGGAAAAAAGTCATAAAGTATTAACTAAATATGAGCTTTGACAATGGCTTTCATTTTTCTCTCCTTGTGGTAATGGAGACTTTTCGTTTGTAGTGAAAGTAGAGATAAAAGCCCACCTCCTGGAGGAGTGTAGCCAAAGTGATAATTTATACAAGATGCTTTCAAACAATTTCCACGTTTTATCACCATCTTAATTTATACTTTCAAATGGCCAATTTTATTTAACTAAGCTATGTAATGTTTACCTAAACTACTTAAAAAAGGGCATTTTCATACTTCCCCAAGTAAAGATGGGATCACTTTCTAAGGTCTGCATGAAGAACCTTAACTGTTAGCTTATAAATTATTCTCAATTTTCCAAGTTTTCCAGGAAAAACCTCACTTTCAAGACACAAACTCACGGGTTTCTACAAATGGTGTGAGAGAATGGAAATTATATTAACAAAAAGAAGGGGGGGAATTTTCATTAAATGGATTTGTCTACAAGTGTCTTAGAAAAGAATTACAGATCAGTATTATGGCTATATTATGCTAACAATTCAACACTCTCCACCAAGGGACTATTCTTCCAGGAATAATTGTCAGGAACCGCACAGTGGTGGTGAATAGGGCTGAAGCCAAGTACAGACAAAGCCAGAATCAACAATAGGCAGAATCCAGGGCTGCTAAATCACAACACCTCCCACCACCTTCCTTCTTCTCAGAACTTGAAAACAATAGAGTTAGCACTTAATGTATAGGCATTAGCATTAAACCATTTAAAATTAAGTAATAATGCTTTAAATCTCATATTTTTTATTTTAAAATGTTTTAAAATAACTAGCATGCTTAGTAAGGAATAATAAAAAATGAGACACACTGATCATAACTCAAAAATAATAGAATTAGCATGTAAAAATTAAAACAGAAAATATGGAGAACACTGTCACAAATACCATATATAATGGAGTATAAGCCGACCCGAATATAAGCTGGGAAAACGTATTGACTTGAGTTTAAGCCAAGGGTGGGAAACTGGTAAAATTTCAAAATAAAAATAGATACCGATAAAATTACATTAATTGAGGCATCAGTAGGTAAAATGTTTTTTAATATCTACATAAAACTGTAATTTAAGATAAAACTATCCAACTCTGATTAAACCATTATTCTAACCTTCTTCAGTGTAAATGTGCTTACGTATCCTTCCAACAATAATAGAATAAAATAATGAAAATGTAATAATTAACATTAATAATACAGTAAAATAATAAATTTAATATAACAATAATAAATAAGTAAAATAATAAATTTAATAAATAAAATAATAATAATAGAGTAAAATAATGGAAATGGAATATTAACAGGCTCAAACCCAGCACCTCAATCCGTGGGTGATACCAGATGAGAGACTCCCCCCTGGGCACACAGAAGACTGGGCGACTTGGAAAGCGCTGAACAGACTGCGCTCTGGCACCATGAGATGCAGAGCCAACCTTCAGAAATGGGGCTACAAAGTTGAATCCACGACATGCGAGTGTGGAGAAGAGCAAACCACTGACCACCTGCTGCAATGCAACCTGAGCCCTGCCACATGCACGATGGAGGACCTTCTTGCGGCAACACCAGAGGCACTCCAAGTGGCCAGATACTGGTCAAAGGACATTTAATCAGCTACCAAGTTTGCAAAATTTGTGGTTTTTTTATCTGTTTGTTTGTTTTGTTCTGTTAGAAATGTAATACAATGTTCTGGTTGCGGATGACACGATAAATAAATAAATATAAATAAACAGTAATAATAGAGTAAAATAATAAATGTAATAATAACAATAATAGAGGAAAATAATTAATGTAATAATAATAAACAGAGTAAAATAATAAGTGTAATTAATAATAATAGAGTGAAATAATGGAAACGTAATAATAATAATAATAAATAAAGTAAAATAATTAATGTAACAAAACTAATAATAATAACAGAGTAAAATAATAAATAACCTTGACTCGAGTATAAGCCTTAAAAAGGGCTTTAAAACTTGGCTTATAGTCGAGTATGTACGATATTCGGAGTTACTAATCGGACTATTTCTAAATTGTATTCCTTCTTGTTGTGTGCCTTCAAGTCTTTTCCCATGTCCCATAAGGCAATCTTATCATGTGGGTTGTCTTGGTAACATTTCTTCAGAGAGTGTTTGCCTTTGCCTTCCTCTGAGGCTGAGAGTGTGTAACTTGCCCAGGTCACTCAGTAGGTTTCCATGGCTGAGTAGAGATTTGAATTCTGGTTTCCAGAGCCATAGTCCAATGTTCACACCAATACACTAATGCTCACTTTTCGTTATCCCTGTTTTTTAACACTCATCCTGCCAGGTAAATAAATAATTATTTTTGCCAGAGGCCTGAACTGATTGCTTCTAGCTGGTTCCAGAAATCAGACGGAGGTCCACCTGTGAACCTAGGACCTGCCTAAATGTGTTACAATCCCTGAAGTGGACAAGATGTTGCTCCTGGGAATCCACATGATGCGTAAGACCCTTCCGTCCCCAATCTTAATTTAACCAAATATTACTTGCATCTCTAAGCATGTTGTAGGGGGGATGAACGGACGGAAACCTTCTGGGATAATTTCTTCAAGGTGTAACAGACATCCCAAGTCCGAGGAGAAGCTGATTTTCCTGAAGATGCAGAGTTTCTAGACAGATGAGCCTTGTCTGAGCCTTGCTCAAATAAATGGGGAGGTCTGGTGGGTGCACCAGATTGCATCATTTAACTGGGATAAAAATATCCCCCTGCATGCACTAAAAGCATTGCCCTGGAGCTTACCCACAGTATGTGGCAGTGTTAATTGTTGGGCCAGTTTCTATTTGGAAACAGCCAGTTGTTCATATCTCCCCCCTCCTCCCAGTTTTCCCTAGGTTTGGGTAACCCACGGACAAGTGATGGCACTTAATGTCCCCCTCTCATCCTTGGTTTAGCAGTGAGGACTATGTGTGAAACTACTGGTGGCTGTACAATATAAAACAGATATAAAAGGATAAAACTGTGTATATGAACATTTTGGAATGAATCAACAAGGTATCAATATTGTCAATAAAAAGCCACATTTTTATTTGGCACCGCAATGCAGCCAGTGGTAGCACCAACCCCACCATCAATTCCACAACCAGGAGCTATATCGCTGAGATGGCTCTTTCCTGTGATTTCACACAGAAGTATTGGTCCCACAGGTGGAAGACAAAGGATGGTCCCTTCAGAAATCCTCACTCCTCCAACACGCATATACTCAAAATGTTCCATAGAATCATAGAATCAAAGAGTTGGAAGAGACCTCATGGGCCATCCAGTCCAACCCCCTGCCAAGAAGCAGGAATATTGCATTCAAAGCACCCCTGACAGATGGCCATCCAGCCTCTCTTTAAAAGCCTCCAAAGAAGGGGCAGAGAGTTCCACGGCTTTCACAGTCAGGAAGTTCTTCCTCATGTTCAGATGGAATCTCCTTTCTTGTAGTTTGAAGCCATTGTTCCATTGCGTCCTAGTCTCAGGGAAGCAGAAAACAAGCTTGCTCCCTCCTCCCTGTGGCTTCCTCTCACATATTTATACATGGCTATCATATCTCCTCTCAGCCTTCTCTTCTTCAGGCTAAACATGCCCAGCTCCTTAAGCCGCTCCTCATAGGGCTTGTTCTCCAGACCCTTGATCCTTTTAGTCGCCCTCCTCTGGACACATTCCAGCTTGTCAATATCTCTCTTGAATTGTGGTGCCCAGAATTGGACACAATATTCCAGGTGTGGTCTAACCAGGCAGAATAGAGGGGTAGCATGACTTCCCTAGATCTAGACACTATGCTCCTATTGATGCAGGCCAAAATCCCATTGGCTTTTTTTGCCGCCACATCACATTGTTGGCTCATGTTTAACTTGTTGTCCACGAGGACTCCAAGATCTTTTTCACACGTACTGCTCTCGAGCCAGGCGTCACCCATTCTGTATCTTTGCATTTCATTTTTTCTGCCAAAGTGGAGTATCTTACATTGTCACTGTTGAACTTCATTTTGTTAGTTTTGGCCCATCTCTCTAATCTGTCAAGATCGTTTTGAATTCTGCTCCTGTCCTCTGGACTATTGGCTATCCCTCCCAATGGACCAAACGATCAGTCGTCATCCTAACCATACAGTTTGTTCTACTGGCTTTTACCCATGTATTGCAGTTGGATGTTGTTGTTGTTGTTGTTGTTGTTACGTATCTTCTCGTCACTTTCAATTTATGGCAAGCCTAAGACAAACTTACCACAGGGTTTTCTGGGTCTGAGAGTGGATGACTTGCCTGGGGTCACTCAATGGGTTTTTATGGCTAAGCAAGGATTCGAATCCTGATCTCCAGTGTCATCATGCAATGCTCAGTCCACTACACCATGCTGGCTCGTGCAGATAACCATACACTGAATTAATGAAAACTTGGGGTTTTTTTAATTTTAAAAGTCAGTTCTTAGTCCCAATGACTTAATGAATGAATTACGTGGCAAATTTCACATCCATTAACTAGCACTTTGAATAGTGATTTCATATACCATAATTCCCTACTTCTTTCATGTACAGGCAGTCCACAAGTTACAAACATCTGAATTACAAATGACTCATTGTTAAGAATGGGTGTGGGATTAAAGAAAGTGAAAAAACTTATCTCTCGGAAAGGAAAATTCACTCCTGAAAGAGTTATCAGGGGGAAAAAAGTATCTCTACTGAAGCTTTTTCACCAATCCTTGTTTCCACAACAAGCCAACATTTTCAAAATCGAATTCTCACAGGGACAGAAAGTGAGATGAACAAGGGAAAGACAGCAAAATAAACATCACAGGGGTGTTAACCCTTCTCAAGGCTATCCAAAACTAAAAAAAATCATTATGTGTGGCTGGAGTTAAGAAATGTATCTGTTCCAACTTACTTACAAACAAATTCAACTTAAGAACAGCGCCATAGAACCTGTCTTGTTTGTAACTTGTGGACTGCCTGTACATCTGTTTATTCATGACAACAGGAATTGCTTAGTCCAAACAGAGTATGCCTGTGCCTTATCTATTCTTTTAAGATAAGCTAAACTTGGGGTATTTAAATTGTCTTATGATTCATACTGTCTATTGTTTTGTTGTTTCAAGTCACATCTATTATTTTTGTAAAATGCTATTAGTTTTTTTTAGATTAGTATAGAGAATGCCAAAACTAAATTTATTTATCTAGTGAAAGACCAACTATTTTCTTCCCCACTGTACACAGACTGGTACTATATTAGCATTCATTGGTTATAAATTGTTTTCCCCTTCCAGAAAGCTTCTCAGGGACTGAAAAAAGATGGTTTAAGGAACAGACCTATCCGCCACTCAGTAGCACTGCCCTATGCCTCCTTAACTCACAGTCTATTTATGACACCTAAACAGCTCTTTCTTTGCACATTTCTCCAAAAGTTAAGTTCGACTGTATTCACCAGGTCTTATTCCTGATAAATGTGGATAGGATAGAGGTCTTAAACTTCTGAAATGCTTATTTATTCTCCTTAGCACCAGTTCTATGCACATGATTAAGGATCTTCCAACAGAATATGCTGAAAAATTTAACAAACTATAATTCCCAAGATTGATGGGGAAAGGCATCTCTGATAGTTGAACTATTATAAAACTAATGGAAATTGTAGTGTATATGGAAATCTTTTTAAAATCACACAGCAAATGTACATGGAAATACAGAGAGCATCTCTTTGGGCATAGATAAGGAATCTATACTCTCTCAGCAAAGAAAGTGCTAAGTATTTGATGAAGTTTTCCTAATATCTCTAAAACACAAGAACTGTATAAATTACAAACATTTGAAATCTTACCTATTGCGTCCCGAATCTCGAAATCCTTTGGCAAATGGATTCCTGTCAATCTTGAGTCGGGTGATCTATAAAGATAACACAGCATGTTCAGATGTCTTGAAACTATTCATAGTTACATAAATCTGTGGATACAAACACATTATATCCACATACTTGTTCATCCAATGTCACTAGGTAAGCTAAGAAACATAAATTCAACACCCAGTTGGAAGTATGGATCTAGCAATGCAATTCACTCAACTGTGGCTAAGGCTATTAAAATCGGTAGTGGAAAATGTAAAAATAAGAAAAATTAACACAGTTTTATTTATTGTGCATGGCTCTTTTCCCATAGGGGAGAGCCCGTTCCATCACTTTAAGTTAAAGCATATGATGAAAAACTCTGTAATAAATGATGTAAACATATAAAAAGTGAAAACACCACTGTGGCATAATTATTCATATTTGGCAAAGACATGACAAGAAAACTGTGCATATTGAAGAGGTCACTGCCAAGTGAGCAAAGTTATTGGAAGCAACCCACTGATGGATTAAATCATGTTTGAATCAATGGAAATAAAGTAGATAGTTAAAAATGGAAAAATCCCTAGAGTAATTTTAATGGCATTATCTTCATTGTCAATATCCACCAGCTTGTTGTTGTCGTCACTGTTGTATACCTTCAGGCCATTTCTGACATACGGCAACCATAAGAAAAGCCTATCATGGGGATTTCTTGGCAATAAAACTATAAGAAAAACCTATAATGGGCATTTCTTGGCACCCACTGACTCTAGCCAATGTCAGTGGGTGCAATGGAGCCCCCGGTGGAGCAGTGGGTTAAACCCCTGTGCCGGCAGGACTAAAGACCGACAGGTCGCAGGTTCGAATCCGGGGAGAAGCGGATGAGCTCCCTCAGTCAGCTCCAGCTCCTCATGACATGAGAGAAGCTTCCCACAAGGATGATAAAAACATCAAATCATCCGGGCGTCCCCTGGGCAACGTCCTTGCAGACGGCCAATTCTCTCACACCAGAAGCGACTTGCACTTTCTCAAGTCGCTCCTGATATGATAAAAAAAAAAAGTGGGTGCAATGAGCAACAGCCACCAGCAGTTTTACACAAAGTGGTCGCCACTAAGCTAAAGACAAGAAGAGGACAGTTAGTGCCATCCCCTGGCCCTGGGCTGCCTGAGCCCAGGGAAAGTGGGATGGCTATGTGAACAACCCTACCCAGGTACAAAAAGGAACTGGCCCAACTGTTTAACCAACACAAAGTGCAGGTAGTCTACTTCCAGATCCCTGAACTGATTGAGGAGATTCTGCACTAGACAAAAATATCCAGTTGCTTCAGCAGGAGCACTTCTCTACAAACAAAACTTATCAACACAATTGTGATTATACATCTCTTTTCACTGCTTGAGATGGTAAATGTTATAACTGGCATCAATCACAACTGGATAATATAGGCCAGGATGCAGAGGCACACACAAGTAATTTTTCCTCTGCAGTTAGATACTGTAAACTACTTCGGGAAATCCACTGTTTCAAAACTATCTTGCCATCTGTTATCTAGGGCTCATGTTCGAGAAATACAATCTCAAAGCCTCCATTGGCATGCAGAATTAACTGAGTTGCTCTTTGGATCCTAGCCATAATATGGTAGTTATGATGATACATTTTTCTCCATGGTCATTTAGGTTGCAATTCTATCTACACTTATTTGGGAGTTAATCTCACTGAACTCCATGGTGCTTACTTCTGAGAGAACATGTATAGGATTACCCTGCACATTGTTTTAACTTCAGAGGAATTTAATACACGATAGCAAAATCACATATGTACATTTCACACCATTCCAAAATATGAGAACTAAATAATTTTCAGAGTGTCGATAAAATTACAGTGTTGATCCACTTTGGGAAATTGTGGACATTTTTTTAAAAATGACATTGACTATATGAGGTTGGACAAGCTGATTAATAACCACTTTTCTATATCTCTGTCTTAATAGCCATTTCTCAATGGATAATATTATTTAACTGAGAGAGCACAGGAAAGCATTCTCATGGCTTTCTTGTCTTGACTATAGAACAAGTCTCAAATCTCACACCAGTTCAAAATTTAACTTTCTATTTAAAAGTTAAAATGTAACTGTAATAATACAGTGCAATACCTTTTATATGACTTAGAACAGACATGGGCAAACTTTGGCTCTCCAAGTGCTTTGGACTTCAATTCCCACAATTCCTAACAGTTGGTAGGAAAGCCATGATAGTACAGGGCAATGCAAGCTAGAATCTAAGATACAGGTCTTCTGATCTAAAAGCCTTGCAGACCCAATGAACTACAAGAATATATATGCTACTTTGGAGTTATAATTGTTATTATGGAAAATTCACTGAAGAATATCTAGAGTTGAATTTCTTGACTGACCGCAGCAGGCAAATGGGTCTTCAAAGGCATGAAACCTTTCTATAATATGAGCAGAAACTACCAAGAGTTTGAGGCTGCATTACTTCTACTTGCATATATTACACCCCCAGAAAATCGGGGGGGGGGGGATCTTATCAAAAGTCCCTTCTACACTGCCATATAATCCAGATTATCCAAGCAGATAATCCACATTATCTGCTTTGAACTGGATGATACGGGTCTACACTGCCATATAATCAATTTCAAAGCAGATAACCTGGATTTTATTTGGCAGTGTAGAAGGGGCCTAAGTCTCCAATCACTGAATTCTGTAACCTATTCTTTCTCCCAAAATGGCATCCTGATGCTTCCCTTCACATTTCTTGCATTGCTTAACATTACACCATATTTGCTTCATTTAGGGAAAACATCCAAGTATGACTTCAACAAGATCTGTATGTTAAAACAGACATGATTGGGGGGGGGGGGGGTATTGAAAAGATGAGTTCATAGCTACCATGTTTCTGCATGGAGCTATAAATCATTGTTTATCAAACTATGGATAATAATGTGGCCTATGCAAAACAAAATTGACTGTTACAGTTACGACTGCTCAAAAATTCTGTTAAACTCAAAAAGAGAGAGAACTGTTGAGGGATAGAGGTTCCCTCCTCTCTTTCCCATTTCATTTCCAACTGTCAATTTAGCCTCTGAAGCAGAAGAAAGCAAATGCTGTAAACCTTCCACATTTCGAGGTTTAACTTTTGTGGATTTGATCATTCATGGATTTGGTTAATATTGTCTCTCTAGGAATCTCTAGGCTTGAAGGTAAGGTTTGGAGTGCCCAATGTTCTCGGTCTTCACAGGGTAGAAGTTCATGTCCTATGGCTTAAAGATTCTTAGAAAGATAATTCCTTAAGATTTTTAAAAGTCTGTTTTTATTTGTGTTATTTTTGCAGGGCTCTGTGTCCATAACTACTGCAAAAGTGGAGAACCTACTGTACATAATCTGTGAGGTTTCCCAAACACAAGTAAATGCCGACACAGCTCTACATATAGTAATATATTTTATTAAATAAAGTTAAAAAACATTTGATCATCTTCTTTTTACATAGTGTCATTTCCCTTGTATATTTTTTCCTCTTCTGATTGTTTAGCATTCAGGGGAAATCCAATTAATTAAAATTAAAACACAATAAAATTACCTGTTGGTTCTGGTACGCTGTTACAGTTGTAAAAACAGTTTCCGGAAAGGAGAAAGCCTTCACTCCTTCTCCTGAAGGAACGGGCTTGACAGGAGAGAGATCATCCCCACAGTCTTTCCGAATGACATGGACACGTGGTTGGTATTTGTGCATAGAATGGAGAATAATCTACATGAGAGAGAGATAGGGAAAGAAAGAGACACAGAGCTAGCTAGCTTTCTTCTTGTTTCTTCTGCATCAGCATTTTAAATACACTGAAATGTATTGCCTATCTTGCTTCATTTTATTTTTGGGGCATGCCAAGTGTACTGCTATGCATCTCAAAATTGGCTAGGTTTCAGTTCAATTAGGTGCCCCAGAGGGATGGTTTTGTAACCATGTTAAGGCAGTAAGCATGGTCTAAAAGGGGATCAGGTAGCTGGATCTTCTCCAGATCTCTCAGTACTTTCACAAGTCCTCTGAATAATCTTTGCTGAATCATGATGAAATAAAAAAATAAACCACTGGCCAGCATAATATTAAATATGAAAAATATTTGTTCATTTCATTTTTCCCTTTGAATTGTACATTTAAAAAAAAAAATCCTCACAAATATATTCCCAGCATCTTAGACCAAGATATTATATACCAACCCAAGACACAGCAGAGATAATGAAACCATGTTGTTCATCCTAGGACTACCTCCATCTCATCTGATTTCAGGTACTATCTAATCTGGCTGAAACCTTATTTGATTACATGCCAGGTCAGTATTTGGATGAGAGGGATCTCTAAGTAGTGCTAGGAAAGAATCCAGCCTAAAACATAGAGAACCACTGCCAATCAGAGTTGACAATGCTAGACTAAGATGAGCCAAAGGCATAAGACAGCTGCTTCTCTTCCTTCATTTAAAGGATTACTGTTGTACAATGAACATACATAACCTGCCTGATCCTAAACATATTATTTGTACCAGGACAATATAATACTGACCATGGACTGAGCATTAACTCCAAATCTGGAAACACAGTGGGCTCTTGATGTTGCTAGGGTTTTAGTTCTAGGACCTTTTGTGGATACCAAAATTCATGGAAGTTCAAGGCCCATTATGTACATAAGTCTACTAAACTGTTGACCCTTATACAAAATGGCAAAAACAAGATTTAAATTTTGGATTTATTTATTCTAAAAAATGTTTTCAAGCCATAGATAGTGGAATCCACCGATGCACAATCCATAAATACAGAAGGCCAACTGTATTCCTTTCCTTTACCAGTAGAACAACTGACATATCCAGTATGTCAGGGTGGAAAATGTGAGAACCTCCAAATGCTGGACTTAAATTCTCAGCATTCCTGACCATCAGCAATGCTGACTGGGGTCATATGAGTCCTACTTCTGCAGTGTGTGTTCAGGCAAAAAGAGAGAGAGAGAGAGAGAAGCTGAAACACAAATCACAGAAACTTCTTCAACACCTCAACATTATCACTTATGATGCCCAAACATGACAAAAATGATGTTCTCAGGCATCTAAGAAATAGAGGAGTCACACACACTATGTTCCATCAATACACAATCACAACAACCAATCAGCCCTGGTGGCAAAGGGAGCCAGAGCATAATCCAAGAGAGACTCTTTCTGTAGCTAGTTTGCCTGATAGGCCTAACCTTGTCCAGCCTCTTATTCAGCTCCAGTCAAACCTAATTGTCTTTAATCTCATCTCTACTGCAGACGTGTGCTGGACTTTCCGCCAGTGTGGTGGAGTTTAGTCAAATCATAAAGACTAATATCAGGTGAACTTTAATACAGGATTATGGCTGAACTAGATCAGGGTCCCCTGGCATAATGTCAGAGCTCATGAGATATCGTTATCATCATCATAAAAAACCCAACTTGCTTCAAATAAATACCAGCTTTAGTTTTAAAAAAATACATTGGGCAGCAAAAATATTCTTTAACATGAGATGACAGGTGAATGACATTCATTCCGAACAGCATTGTTCAGGGACATGAAAGTATGATGGGAAGAAAGGAGCATGAGGGAATTACAGGAAGTGAAGGTAGTATTTTGTTCATGCTGTCAGTGTGTTGACTTTTTTATTTTATGTTGTATATGATACAGTTTGTTGTTGTGTTGAAGTGTATGTGCATTTGTGCTACTAGGAAAAATAAAAGAACGAAAGGACAGCTGAAGTACTGGGGAAGATATTACTACAAAATTGTTAAAATTATAATAATAGGAAGTGATATGAAAAATAGCAAATAAAGCTTTAAAGCATATAAAATGTATTTATCTACTCTATTTATAGAGAACACTGAGAAGAGTGTGGTGTTTGGAACAAAAGTTGTCTCACTTTTCTGTGCTCATGCACTCTCAAGTCCATGAGCACGCTCTCACCACTCCTCTCTTTTAGCAAGCTCTCCCCCTCTCCATTGTCACCAGCTGACTACCGTGTATATTCTGTTTTAATTTTTAAAATGTGTATGTCACGTTATATATTTATTTATTTTGTGTCAAAAGCATTGCATAAGTAAACAAGTGTAAAATGATAAAATAGAGGGAGCACAGGTGACTAAATAATTTTAGACCAAAGTTTGAGATATTATGTATTTATAACATATGTTCTGTAGGTTCTGTGGGTTTGTTCTTAAGCTGAATTTGTATGTAAATCAGAACAGTACATTTTTAAGTGTAACTCCGGTCAATGGATAGCATAGGGGTTAACGGTGTGTGTTTTGCCGTCTGTGCCCCTATTCAAAAGATTTCATCTCACTTTCGGTCCCTGTAACAATTTAATTTTGAAATATTTGGCTTGTTGTGGAAACAAGGATTAGTGAGAAAGCTTCAGTGGAGACCCCTTTCCCCCCATGATAACTCTTGCAAGAGTGAATTTCCTTTCCTACAGATAGATTTCTCTTACTTCCTGTTGTTTCACACCTGTTCTTAACTATGAGTCATTTTTAAGTCAGATGTTTTAACTCGGGGACTGCTTATATACCGTATATGAGGCCCCTAGAACCGTAAGAAATGCACAACATTCAGTGTTAACAAATCATTCTCGAATTGACCCCCTTAAAATCAAATTGCCCAACATGGGACATGTGCCTCAGAGAGCCAAGGTATTAAGTAGTCACTAGTTTGCCTTCTACGAAATTAATATTTTTTTACTATGCCCTTCATTGCAGTCATTTTGGGAGTGAACCCACTATAACCTCTCAAAATTTCAATTGTATCTATGAGCTCAAAAGGTTAGCAGTCCCTTCTTTTCACTGTAGAAAATTAATATTTTTTATTTATATATGAGGAGCCATCCACTCATATACACCAATGATGAATACAGGCTGAACAGAACAAAAGCCTGTGAAATTGCCAAAAAAAGATTGACAATGTTATTTAAAACTGAAAGTACAAAAAGAGAGGAAAGGGAAATTAAAAGTGTTTACATTGAGACAGTACAGAACAGTGCTTTTATTTTACCAATATCCCTAAAGAGAAGAAGTAAGACCTGAACTACATTGGCCTAAATATTCCCAATGGGTGTCTGATGTCTCCTCTTTCCCCCACTTCAAAATCGGTACAGTGGAAACCTATGAAGCATATGTATAAATATTTTTATAATGCTGCATTAATCATGATTTCCAGGCATACTCAGATAAATGTTCACATTCGTTTTACATTGCATATGAATTTGCTTTTAATAGTTCAAAATCAAAAACATAACTATTGCTTTTGGAAGCCTACGAAGAGATATAAAAAAGGGTTTAATGGCCACTAGTCGATAGAAAATCTAATTAAAGAGAGGAAATTTTTTAATTTCCTGTTTCATTATTGGCCACAGAATATTAAATTCAACATCTCATGTCATCCTTCTCCTGCCCTCCCCTTTTTTGGCATCAAATGGAATGCCAAATACCATGAAATTAATTGTCCAAATAAAAGGATGAGCTTTATATTTGAACAAAATGAAGTCTTGGCTAATCTGGATGATTTTCTATGAATTCACCTCACACTGGGGGACATAATACTGTTTTGGATAAGCAACTTTCTGGATACTTGAACTTGCAATAGACTGAAGTCAGGCTTTTGACAATTACATCAGAAGCTTGCAAAAATCATGCTTAGATAATCTTTCCCCAGAATATAATTTCTCGATGCCTGCACTCTCATACAGAAAAGGATGCCAGAAAGTGTTCTGCTGAATTAAACATTTAAACAATATTTCTTGCATCTCTGATCTTTTTGTTTTGCTTTGTTAAAAAAGAAGAAAATGCAATATTGAACACACAAGTCCAATCCATTATGCTTCTGTGTATTTGCACTATGTAAACAAAATATTGGATCCAGTTTACTTTTCTAACCAGAGCTCATTTGCAATACATTACAAACTGCTTTTTAAAACTCGGAATTAGAGGCTGAACATCCCTTATCCAGAAATACGAATTCTGAAATGCTAAAAAATCCAAATTTGTCCTCCCGGGTGTCTGATATAATGATACTTTTGCTTTCTGCTAATTCAATGTATGCAAACTTTGTTTCATGCACGAATTATTTAAAAATACTGTATATAAAATTACTTTCAAGCTATGTGTATAAGATATATAGGAAACAGAATGCCGTGTTTAAATTTGGGTCCCATCTCTTTGAGAGATAAAGAGAGAGATTCCCAAATAATTGGGTTATCAGTATTTTTCATGGCATCTACATTTTGCCACAATTTACAAATTACAGACATCAATTAAAGGGTATTGTGAATGGTGCCATTAAATTTGATAAAATGTCTTATTATATGCTTAATTGTTATAGTGATATTATATGAGAATATTAATATATGCCTTTGATATAAAAAGTTATTGATAAAGCAATTAACTTTCTATAATAACTAAAATAAATCAGTTAAAACAGGGTGCATTTCAGTTCTTTGAATTGAGGCATGGAAATGAAGGGGGAATAAAAACAGCTTTGCGAGTATTAACCTTCAAAATGTTTACATATGTTATTTGTAGGAAAATTCTTCCAAAGGAACAACCTAATACTGTGAAGATTACATAATATATTTTGTTCTCTACAATTATACAAAAATGAGCAATGCGTTACGTAGTAAAAACTGGTACATATAGATATGGACTTTTATGTGGAAGGAAGGCACAATTTCTGCTCCTTACGCGTATTTCCAGCAGTAGGGAGTTT